ACAAAACGACAGCAACTTGTCTGTTCCCCTTCCCCCAATTCCCCAGCACTGTTCCCATCCCCCCAATTCCCCAATAAAAAAATCTTTAAAAAAAATGCGCAGTTATTAAGCCAGATCTCCCTTATCCAGTACATATACTATTAATTTTTAAAAAGTCAGTTTACATTTTTATTTTATTTTTTAAGCTGAGCCATCCTGCCACCTGTTGGCAGCTCAGCGGCTGCTCAGCTCGAGCTGGGAATCGAACTGCTGTTGCTCAGAACTCAAACTCTTGAGCGAGCTCTTAACCAACTGAGCCACTCGGCCGGCCCTCAGTTTGCATTTTCAAAATGATTTATTCATGCCACCAATATTTGAAAATGGATACAGTATACCTAATTGCCTAAATACTGAAATTTCTCACTTTCAGGGTAACCACCTCGCTGTGAATATATTTGTTCATCTTTAATCCATTATTTAGTTATCCCAGCACACAGGTCAAGATTATCCACCCATTTGACAGAGGAGGGTAGTGAGCCTCAGAGAAGATATGGAACTTGTGTCAGGCGGTGAGCTTTTAAAACCACAAGGTTTGTTTTAACCCATCATTCTGGCTTTACAGAGAACTTGATCAGTGTTGATGTACTTGTAGCCACTGGGTTTGTTAGTGGTCACCACTAGAGACCCCCCTTCAGGTGGATGTAAATCTTCCGTTCTTTCCCCCTAATTAGGCTCCATTATTCACCCCTTAGGAATCTTCCTAACAACACTGTACACTAAGATAGGCTCAAGATTCTCAGGATTCTCTGCATTTCTTTCACCTACCAGTTTGGTAACCTTGAAAAAAGAAATGACTTGTTCCTAATGAGCTTTCCACAGTTATTTGCTTCACCATTTAAAATCTCTGCTAGTAGACGAGACATTAGAGCTAAACTCTGAATCCAGGAAATAGCAGTTTGGAAAGGGATTTTTGACAATACTTAAACTGCAGCCTGAGTCTGGATTAATTCAGAATTTAAAAAAAAACCCCACCATTGAGCCTAGAATTTTTGGCATAGCCTTGAACGAGTGAATCACAGGTATAGAAGGAATAAGGTTCCTCTCAGGTCAGTTTGTCAGTATTTGACATTCAGCTTCAGAAGTAGGTACTGCATTTAATAGTGTTTAAATTCAGTTTTTCTTAATATTTTTCTGAATGTCAGTTGGGAAGACATTTAATCTGGACTTTTACTCTTTTATAGCACCATAATATTTTGGCCTAAATTGCTCATCTATATGTGTGTTTGGGTGCTAGTTGGGGCTGTGTACACCTATGATTTGTAGACTCTTCTGATGTTATAGTTCAATAAAACGGTGTTTAGAAATAAAAGAATGTAGAGAAATGATCTTCCCTCATTATGTTTGGAAAAATTATGCTAATTGTGTTGATGTTACTAACCTTCAATAT